ACATGTGAGAGAGGACTCCCCCTGCATGCGTGGAGCATTTGAGGGGGTACTCCCCTGCATGCGCGTAACATGTGAGGGAGGACTCCCCTGCATGCGCGGAGCATGTGAGGGGGGACTCCCCTGCATGCACGGAACATGTGAGGGGGGGGACTCCCCTGCATGCGCAGAGCAACTTTTGCTCCACTGCCATTGGATCCTGACAGCAAAGCAGGAGGAAGATGGATAGCGATCAGTGACTTTATTATATTTTTAAACAGCCATTTTACAGGCAGAAAAACGTTTACTGTACATAATTATGTATGTTACCAGTACGTATTTAATTATAAGTTTTAAAAAATCATTTGGTGTAAATATCTCATGTTACAACATGGACACCTGCGGCTTATAGACAAGTATATGAACAAAAAAAAAATTTTTCTTTGTAAATTTAGTGTGAGCAGCTTATTGTCAGGTGCACTCGATAGTCCAGAAATTACGGTAAATGAAAAGTAGAAATCACAGATGAATTGTATCATCATGGTAGAGTGGAAAATGAAGGGAAGAGCCAAGCAAAAAAAAAAAAAAAAAGCTGCAAAGCGTGCCGCTTCAAACTTAAAGGAATAAAAGCAGAAGTATGTTTTTATTTCCACACTGCCATGGCATGAACGAAAAACAGAACAAGATGTTTGAAGAACAACTAAAGCGTTGAAACGTTAGAGCAGAAATCATTTCTGGTCATGATCTGGCCAGTTCTTGTTCAGACTCGGTGCCACGATGTTCTGAAGAACTGGATCAGAGGTGGACAGCCCTGCAGAAGCTTCGGCTCATATGAAAAGAAAAACATCTTTCATCTGAAGTCTTAACTGTGAAGAGCATCTTTGAGCTCCTCCATCAGACTGAAGGTCCACTCCGCGGAACATAGAAACACAACGTGGACGCTGAAGCAACACGAGTGCCCCCTGCAGGATCTCTGCAGTATAGCTTTGAAGCTCATGTAATATCTGACTTTTACTGTAGTAGTTACTGACGTAGGCTTTACTTTTTGATTACTTTTTTAAAATTCTGACTTTTTGGCATCATCATCAGCCACAGGTGTACTGATGGAGCAGTGTTTGTATTTCTACTTGAACTAAATAAAAAAAACTGTGACCGACTACAGCAGCCCTATTTCTTTTTTATCATTTTACTGCGAGGAGGTCAGATTATTGGATTAAAATGATGTTTCATGGCATGTTAGTGGTTCATTTATTCAAACAAAATGAAACTATTGAAAGAAGAGTGGTGATTTTATTAATTAATTCTTCTAAATCAAGCGCTCTTTCAAACTGCTTTAAATGTTAAACGCCCTCAACATGCAGCTCCAACTACAACACCCTCCACTGTTGTTGGTGAATATGGAACAGTGACACGGACCATGAGCCTCCTGATCACTCCACAGTGGAACAACTTCCTGTAACTTTTTTAAGGGTCTGGTCCAGCAGCACCTTTACATTCACCTCTTCATTCTCTGTCTGGTACTGAGCTCAATGAGATGTCTGTAAATCAAGGAGGAACTGAGGTTCTGTTTGTTGCTCGGCTGAGAATCTGTTGTCCTGTTTCTTTGATTTTAGAGAGAACTGGGACTTCCTGAGATTAAACTAGAAAATTCATGTTGAGACTAATTTTACCGTTAGGAGAGGAAACAGCGTCAGAGCTGTGGGACCATCAGAACATCAGAACAGACGCGTGGTAACACCAAGTCTGATGTTTGTGCATGCAAAGCAAGAAATGGCGGGTTTAATTACGTTTGGTATTTGGGGGTACCCCTAAGGAGGGCTGGGCTCGCGGGGTGGCTTCAGTTTGAATGAACTGAAGAACGAGGTTACTTGCTGAGGCAACTCGGCCAATACACTTTGGGCCAGAGCCTGGACGGGCGCCTGGAAAGAAACGACAGACAGGAACTACGTTGAGGTTTTAGATATTAAAATGAAAGAAGGTGGAGAGTTTGCTCTGCGGCACGTTTAGATCATTTTGAAAGCAGTTAATTAAAGAAGGTTGGAAGGCGAGCAGGTTTTACAGCTGCTGGAGAGAAAACGATCTGCCCTGAACAACAGAGAGATGTTTGTGGTGGGACTCACGTTCTGAAACTGCCTGAACGGCACAAACTGGACGATGTCCCTCACGGCGGTCTCGCCCGTCAGAGCGCGCAGGCGGCCGTTGTCTCCGTCCAAGAACTCCATGGCGCTGAAGTCTGCCCCTCCCACCCCGACGATGATGATGGACATGGGCAGCCGGGAGGCGTTAACGATGGCGCTGCGTGTCTGATCCATGTCTGTGATCACTCCGTCAGTGATGATGAGCAGGACAAAGTATTGCTGCAAAAAAGAACGATGCAGAACAAAAACCTGTGAGTTTAGTGGAAACGTCTCATGTGATGCTTTCCAAATGATCTGCTCCTCTGCTGGGACTGCTGGTCCAAGACTGAGTTCTGGTGGCAAATAAAACCAGGTGTCCTTAAACATGTTCTCAACATGGTTTCACCATTTACCTAAACTCTGACAAAACAACCAACAGAGTGAAGGACGTAAAAGTGCATGTGTTGACAGTTCATGGATTTAATGATTACAGGATCAGATCAAAGATGGAGGTGTGGCATCCTGCTGCACAAAGAGCTGACGTGGTGCAGAACAGAGAGGGACAGCTCCTGCAGGGACAATAACTGATCTGAATGGACATCTGGCACATCAGCTCAGAGTCCAACATGACCCTAGAATAGACTCCCACACCAACAGCAAACATGCTAGAGTGGGAACGGTCAGGGGAGATCTCTAAACCCGATGCAAACATCTGTGCCACGTGGACTTCATTACTTTATTCATTGTTGGTCCTTGTGTGCATCAAATTATGTCCTAACTGGAACATTCCTTCTAGATCAGACATGGGCAACATATGGCCATTGGACAATCTATCTGGCCCCCATTATCCTTAACTGAAAAGAAAACAACTTTTAAATAGGTTAATGAAAACCTGCATTTTATCAGTGAAACGTAAGGAAGTCTAAATTAAACATCTTGGACAAATGTATCAAAAGCCTTTAGGTTAAGATAGGCTAAAACTTTTATTTTGTTGGTGTTGTGGTTCCAGAATTAGACTGAATCTTAAAGGCTCCAAAAGGAAAACCTAACTTTTTAAAGCTAACACATTGTCACAAGAGCCAGTTTACAGAGTTTGTCTTATAATCCAAAAGTATCCAAGAGACTTATTTTATCAAACATGCTAACTACCATAACTGTCGTTGTACAAGACGCTACTTTTTACTCACACTTTGTACCCCACAGTTTATATGCAGGAGCATCTTATTTATAGTTTTTTTTCATAATTTTCAAAATTTATATTTTTACATTTTATTTTGAAAGACTTCCTGCCATCTCTCGGTAGCTTCCCGTCACCGACTAACATTTTCCTTTGGCAGTGCTGGGCGCTCGTTGCCCCCAGCACCCCGCCCCTAACGGGGGCAGGCTTTTGTTAAACAAAGTGACCGCCCTCAGGTAATCAGACCAGATCCAGAGCCTGTCACTCACGGTTTCAGATATCCTACCATAGATCCACCCAGTCTGTCATCATGTGACCAGAAGTCTGTCATTGAACCGAGTGGGAGGCTTGGATGACGAGCGGAGAGAAATCGTTTACTAATACTAGCCGCATGCGCAAAGCAACTTTTGCTCACGTTTGCCAGTGGGTCCTGACAGCGTGGGGCAGTGTGAAAAAATCCACTATCATCATCGATTTCAAAAGGCTGGAGTGCTGCAGGATGATGCAGACAGCACGAAGGAGAGTGATGTCGACAGCGAGAGGGAACCGGTGTGTCATAACGTCTTTTTGAGCCTCTTCAATTCTGACACTGAAGAAGAGGAGTTTCATGGTTTCAGCGCACAGGAGGACAAAGAACAGAGCGACGAGTGACTCTGGTCAACAATCTGTCCTTTTTTATTTATTTTTTTGTCATGTTAAAGCTGTCCCCCCCCTCTCCTGGGTCATGACGTGGGCTCTGCTGAGCGGAAGTAATCTAAGCAGTCAAGTCTGTACATATTTTAAATAAAAGTTTTAAAATTCTTTCTGTGTACAGTACATACGTGTTTAAATACCAGGATCTCATTTTAAGCTCACATCGGAATACATTAAACCCAGCAACAGGAGGGTTCTTCCCATTTCCTCCCCCTCATGTGAGCAGGAGGAGAAGAAGGCGGAGAAGAAATAGATTTATTTTTAAAGCAGTCAGTCAAGACTGGTAGATATTTAAATAAACTTTTTTTTTTTTAAATCCATCCATTTTCTTCCGCTTATCCGGGGTCGGGTCGCGGGGGTAACATCCTAAGTAGGGAGGCCCAGACTTCCCTCTCCCCAGCCACTTGGGCCAGCTGCTCCGGGGGAATCCCAAGGTGTTCCCAGGCCAGCTGAGAAACATAGTCCCTCCAGCGTGTCCTGGGTCTTCCTCTGGGTCTCCTCCCGGTGGGACGTGTCTGGAACACATCACCAAGGAGGCGTCCAGGAGGCATCCTAACTAGATGCCCGAGCCACCTCAACTGACTCCTCTCGATGTGGAGAAGCAGCGGCTCTACTCGAGTCCCTCCCGGATGACCAAGCTTCTCACCTTATCTCTAAGGGAGAGCCCAGACACCCTGCAGAGAAAACTCATTTCGGCCACTTGTATCCGAGATCTCGTACTTTAGGTCACAACCCAAAGCTCATGACCATAGATGAAGGTAGGAACGTAGATTGATGGGTAAATTGACAGTTTCGCCTTTTGACTCAGCTCTCTCTTCACCATGACAGATCTGTATAGTGCCCGCTTCACCACAGATGCTGCACCTATCCGCCTATTAATCTCTCGCTCCATTTTTCCCTCATTCGTGAACAAGACCCCAAGATACTTGAACTCCTCCACGTGGGGTAGGACCTCCTCCCCGACTCGGAGAGGGCACTCTACCCTTTTCCGGCTCAAGACGATGACCTCAGATTTGGAGGAACTGATCCACATCCCGGCTGCGTCACACTCTGCTGCGAACCGCTCCAGCGAAAGTTGTAGATCATGACCTGATGACAGGTACCCCATACTCCCAGAGTACCCCCCACAGGGTTCCCTGAGGGACACGGTTGAACGCCTTCTCCCAGTCCACAAAGCACATGTAGACTGTTGGGCAAACTCCCACACACCCTCCAGGACCCTGCTGAGAGTGTAGAGCTGGTCCGGTGTTCCAGGACAAAAACCGCACTGTTCCTCCTGAATCTGAGGTTCGACTATCCAATGGACCCTCCTCTCCCGAACCCCCAAATAGACATTATCAGGGAGGCTTAAGAGTGTGATCCCCCTGTAGTTGGAACACGCTCTACGGTCCACCTTTTGGAATAGGGGGACCACTACCCCGGTCTGCCAATCCAGGGGAACTTCCCCCTATGTCCATGCAATATTGCAGAGTTGTGTAAGCCAACACAACCCTACAACATCCAGAGTCTTAAGGAACTCTGGGCGAATCTCATCCACCCCTGGGGCCCTGCCACCGAGGAGCTTTTTAACCACCTTGGTGACCTCAGCACCAGAGATTGGAGGGCCCGACCCAAAGTCCCCAGGCTCCGCTTCCTCAGTGGAAGATGTGCTGGTGGGATTGAGGAAGTCTTCGAAGTATTCTGCCCACCGACCCATGACAAGTTTAGGTCAGTAGCACACCACCCCCACTATAAACAGTGTTGGTAGTGTACCGCTCCCCCCCCCACCCCCCACCCCGAGATGCTGGATGGTGGACCAGAATCGCCTCGAAGCCGTGCAAGAAGTCATTCTCTATGACCTCTCTGAACTCCTCCCATGCCCGAGTTTTTGCCTCAGCGACCACCCGAGCCGCATGTCGTTTGGACTGCCGGTACCCATCAGCTGCTTCCAGGGTCCCACAGGCCACAAAGGCCCAATAGGACTCCTTCAGTCTGACAGCATCCCTCACCGCCGGTGTCCACCACTGGGTTCGAGGATTGCCGCCGTGACTGGCACTGACAACCTTGTGGCTGCAGCTCCGGTAAGCTGTCTCGACAATAGAGGCATGGAACATGGCCCACTCGGACTCAATGTCCCCTACCTCCCCCGGGACATGTTTAAAGTTCTCTCAGAGGTGGGAGTTAAAGCTCCATCTCACAGGAGACTCTGCCAGATGTTCCCAGCAAACACTCGCAATACGTTTGGGCCTTCCAGGTCTGACCGGCATCCTCCCCCACCATCAGAGCCAACTCACCACCAGGTAGTGGTCAGTGGACAGCTCTGCCCCTCTCTTCACCCGAGTGTCCAAGACATGCAGCCATAGATCAGATGAGACGACAACAAAGTCCATCATCGAACTGCGGCCTAGGGTGTCCTGGTGCCAAGAGCACATATGGACATCCTTATGCTTGAACATGGTGTTTGTTATGGACAATCCATGACGAGCACAGAAGTTCAACAACAGAACAGCACTCAGGTTAAGATCAGGGGGGCCGTTCCTCCCAACCACACTCCTCCAGATCTCACAGTCATTGCCCACGTGAGCATTGAAGTCCCCCAGCAGAACAAGGGAGTCCCCAGGAAGTGCACTGTCCAGCACGCCCTCCAAGGACTCCAAAAAGGGTGGATAATCTGAACTGCCGTTTGGTGCATAAGCATAAACGACAGTCAGAACCAATCCCCCCACACGTAGGCGGAGGGAGGCTACCCTCTCATTCACCAGGGTGAACCCCAACATACAGGCACCAAGATGGGGGGCAACAAGTATGCCCACTCCTGCTCGGCGCCTCTCACCAGGGGCAACTCCAGAGTGGAAGAGTGTCCAACCACTTTCAAGGAAACTGGTTCCAGAGCCAGAGCCATGCGTAGAGGTGACTCCCATTATTTCTAGCCGGAACCTCTCAACCTCACATACCAGCTTAGGTTCCTTCCCCACCAGAGGTGAAATTCCACATCCCAATAGCCAGCTTCTGTAGCTGAGGATCAGACCGCCAAGGTCCCTGCCCTCGGTCACCACCCATCCCACATTGCACCCGACCCCTTTGGCCCCTCCTACAGATGGTGAGCCCATGAGAAGAGGGACCCACGTCTCCTCTTCGGGTTGTGCCTGGCCGAGTTCCATGGGTAAAAGCCCGACCACCAGGTGCTCGCCAGCGTGCCCCACCTCCAGGCCTGGTTCCAGAGTGGGGCCCCGGTGACCCACGTCCGGGCAAGGGAACATCGAGTCCATTTATTTTTCTCATCATAGGAGCGTTTTAGGTTTTAAAAATGTGTATGGTAAATAAGTGTTTACATACCAGAATCTCATTTAAGCTCATCCCACGCATGAAACTGAGCGGTGAGAGGTGGATGATTCTGTTCCCCCTTACTCCCTCTCTTGCTCATATTAGCAATGAGGAGAAATCCCGTCAAATACATTTAAGATAATTTAGAAAGTAAATTTAAAAACAGCAACTGATACTAATACTGTTTCACAATAAAAATCAATGGTACTAATTTAATGAATATTTACCACATTTTACCGGTACTACTTGACTTCCGGTTACATGACCTTGATAAGACTTCTGGGTAATATTTGCCGGTACATAATTTTTTAATAATTTTGGTACGTAGGTGTTTGGCACTGTTCTGTCCAGTGATTATACTTAGTTATTGTGTTCGTTTTGAAGGTATAATGGTTGTAACCATGAGCGAAGCTTCATGAAGACTCGCGATCATCATTCAGTCTGAGCGTGTGTTGAAAACAAGCTCTAGTCTGTGAACGCCGTCAAGTGGCTGATTCTTGTACTACAACAAGAAAGCTGCAGCACACTGCTAGAGCTGGACACACATTCAGATAATGAACGATGGATGCCTGCGGCTTAATAACCGGGACGTCTCATTTATGTGCAAAAGTATGATTTATCTTATATTTAATATGTGTAGCTTAGACACAGGTGTGTTCTGTAGTCTGAGAATTACGATATGCTACGAGAAAAATCCTAAAAAATAGACTTCCATTTTATCAGTCTTTAAGAAAAAATATTTTCCAATTCACTGTGTGGCCCTTTGATCACTTTGCCCACTCCTGTTCTAGGTGCTTCATTGTGTCAACTGCTGTAGATACCTCGCTTATTGTTCTCGTGACCATGCTCACAACATGCAGGGATGGACGGAGGGTGTTACCATTAGTCCCTCTTCACTTTGCAACGAGGGACAAAAAATTCTGTTGGAAATATCACCTCAGATTTTCTTTAGGACTTCAGAGAAATAAATACTCACGGATGCGGTGGTCTGCTGGAGGGCTTGATTCGCAAAACAGGCTACGTGGTCGATGATCGGTGAGAAGTTTGTAGGACCGTATAGTTTGACCTGAGGTAAACATGCCCTGTAGGCCTCCACCACCCCCTCAATGCCTACACAGACACACGGCAGAAACCAAAATTATATTAATATTAGCGAAACTGCAGCTTATCAGCCATTCTTGCTTCTGCGTCAATAAAAACTTACACACCTGTACAAAATGGATTTGATGGGTTGAAGTTGAGAGGGAACTTGTGGGAAACCTGTAACCAAATATCTTCAGTTGTCAGTTCAAGTGTCAACACACCAGAACGTGTTAGTCTGATCCCAGATAAGCAGTTTAAACACTCAATGACTCATATTTCACCACGTGCTTTACCTGCCACGTCGGTGGAATCTGAGCGCCAAAGCCAAATGCAGGAAACATCTTATCACTGCAGAGATTCAAAACAAACAAGAAAAACAGTTTCTTCCTTTAGTTCCAGGCACAGCTTGTAGTTTGTTAAAGTCGTGATCAGACTTAATCTAAAAGTTCATATAAGGACATATAACAAACAGTTTTGGCACTCTGCAGTAGATATCTATCAATCAATCAATCAGTCAGTCAATAATACAGTAACTTTATTGTCCATAACATTTCATGAGACGGAGATTTATCTTTGACATCTGGCTCATGCATACAAAACAACACAAGTTAAAAATGCCATAAAACTTTTTTAAAAACTTAGCTAACCCAATAAAACCAATTCTAAAATACACAACACATTAAAAACATGTCAACAGACAACAGTTTGCCATGTCAAGGTCAAAGTTCTTTACAGTCATTCGCACCACATGTGGTACATGTGGTGGAACAAAATTGTGTACACAGGGTCCCAGTTACATCCAACAAAAGTTTCAATTGTACAGAAAAACAGTAATAAGATCTAAGATACGAACTAAGAAATAAACTAAACTAAGAATACACTAAACACTAGTAGTACAAAAACAATACACCGAACAGCAGCAGGAACATGAGTCTGTGTGAGCAGGTGAGGACAAATGAACACAGTAGCATGAAATAAATCAGCAGCATGAGATCAGCAGCATGGATAGTCAGCAGCACACATCAACAATCAAAGTGGCATTACAGTGATAATTCTGGTTAGAGATTCATGAGTCTAACAGCCTCAGGGTAGAAGCTGTTCCTCAGTCTAGTGGTTCTGCACTTAATGCTCCTCAACCTCCTGCCTGAGGGGAGTGGGGCAAAAAGTGTGTGTGCTGGGTGAGTGGGGTCCTTCATGTGAAATGGTTAGTTTCATGTGAGGCTATGTTTAAATAGGACCCTGTTAAGAACATTCACAGCAGAAGGAACAAATGACTTTTTGTACCCATTTTTCTTTACCAGAGGAACCAGCAGTCTTCTGTCAGATGGTACCAACCTGAATAATGGTTGCAGTGGATGAGTTGGGCCATTGTAAACCTGGATTGAGTTTTTTTCCCACAACCTGATTGTACAGGTCTGTAGACTGTTGAAGACCAGTGATTTTACTACCCAGTCTGACCACCAGGAACAACTTGTTCCTGTCTCTGTCTAGGAGGTTCCCATACCATGAGACAATATCAAAGGAAACTACACTTTCAACCACTGACCTGTACACCAACTGAAATGTATTTTTTCAGCATTAAAGCTGATTATAGATTATAGAGAAGGTGGAGACGCTGTCTGGCTTTTTTGTAAATACAGTCAGTGTTGAGCTGAAAGGCCAACTTGTTAACAGTTATTGTTCTGATATATTTAAATTCAGTCACCTGCTCTACTTTCAGCCCTTTTATAACAGAAGGCCTGAATACACGTCTGGTGCTGGTTGTTCTCCATCTACCTCCCAGACAAAGCTCCTTGGTTTTAGTGACATTAAGGTCCAGAAAACTGTCATCAAACCAGACAGAGAGCTGATCTCTTGAATTTTGTTCTAGTTTTTGCCTCATTCGATGGGTAATTGTGAGTCAGGTTTTTTGAAAGTGTATTCTAATTCTAAAACAAGATCTGTTTTTGCACAGTCATCTCCTATAAGGTAATAAATAAAACAGTCTCGGTATTGAATTTTGAATCAATGCTGAAGGGGATTACACGTTGATCCCAAAGGACAGGATTCTTTTTTCTGTGACTACATGAGGCAAGACCACCCACAAAAACTACTGAGTGATGGACACCGAGGCAGAGGGCGGAGAATAAAGGATGCATTGAAGATAGATTGAATGCAAGCGCCCAGCATGACATTATACCACTTTGCCGGTACAGCGTCCACTTCACTGCAGACGCTGCACCTATCCGTCTATCGATCTCACGCTCCATTTTTCCCCTCATTTGTGAACAAGACCCCGAGATATTTAAACTCCTCCACTTGGGGCAGGACCTCCTCCCCGACCCGGAGAGGGCACTCTACCCTTTGCCGGCTCAAGACCATGGCATTGGATTTGAAGGAACTGATCTTCATCCGGGCCGCGTCACACTCAGCTGCAAACTGCTCCAGCGAAAGCTGTAGGTCACGACCTGATGAAGCCAATAGGACCACATAATCTGCAAAAGCAGAGACGTGATCCTAAGGCCACCAAAACGGATCCCCTCAACACCATGGCTGCGCCTAGAAATTCTGTCCATAAAAGTTATGAACAGAATCGGTGACAAAGGGCAACCGTGGCGGAGTCCAACTCTCACCAAGAACGAGCCGACTTACTGCCAGCAATGCGGACCAGGCTCTGACACCGGTCGTACAGGGACCTAACAGCCCGTATCAAAGGGCCTGATACCCCATACTCCCGGAGTCCTCCCCACAGGGTTCCCCGAGGGACGTGGTTGAACACCTTCTCCAAGTCCACAAAGCACATGTAGACTGGTTGGACAAACTCCCACGCACCCTCCAGGACACTGCTGATGGTGTAGAGCTGGTCCAGTGTTCCACGAACAGGACGAAAACCGCACTGCTCCTCCTGAATCTGAGGTTCAACTATCAGACGGACCCTCCTCTCCAGAACCCTGGTCTCCTGGGTCAGGAGGAGCACTGTGTGTGGTATTTATTTATATTTTATAATGTTATATAAACAGTTTTCATCATGTCGATCCTGACCCTACCTGTCATAGTCCTGGATGACGTTGCCCACAGACCAGATAGCGGTGAGGTACTCGTTAACACCCTGAGGGCTGATGTAATGCAGAGACTGAGGAGACCTGGGGTCTCCATTGGAGCCCGTGAAGTCTATAGCCACCTGTTGGCAGACAGGTGGAAATAATGTCAGTGTTTATATCACCCAGGATTAATTAAAAAAAATAAAAAATCTAAACTTACGGTGAAGTTGATCTGACAACCACCCATGATATAATCCAGGAAGCTGTACTCCTTCACGACCTACAAGAACAAACATCTTTTATAGAAGAGCGTCAAACATCTAATGTCTCATTCACGCTGCTGCTTCGTACGTGGACGAAACAAACCTGGCAGAGTTTCACGCTCACAACGCCAGAGTTCTTGTAGCCTTTCTTCTTTTGCTTCTTTTTGCCATTGATGCATTCAAACTCTGCCTGCAAAACAGCCAGGGCGCTTTCATCAAAGCTCAGACACACAGACGTGTTGTATATCTTTTATTCAGCTAGTCGTCATACGTTCATGCAACAAAAAACAGTTTATAATGTTAAAATAATGAGCTGAGGACATTACAACATGATAATACAGTATATGTTGTGTTTCAGACTGGACAAACTTCTGCCTCGCCCGTCAGATTACAATAACACGCAGAATGTTGTACTGTACTCTTACCGGAGACGTCCGTGATGCTTCCTGAAGACGCTTCATCGTGGTCTCGAAGGATCCGATCAGATCGTGTGAGCCATCATCGTCATAGTCGTAACACTCAACCTGACAACAGGTCACAAAATCAGACTGAGGCCGAACCAGAGTTCGAAACGTATTCGTTTACAAAGAAAGTCAACAACTCTACGGATCACTCAAACATCAAATACTGAGAACCATTTGTATCGAGTCTAAAAAACTGTAAACGTGAGGGGTTTGTTTAAAAGCCACACTAAAACTAAATAATTCAACAATAATTTGCTCCATTTGAGGTTTGAGGAAAAATGTTGTTTGAGTGAACCGTGTCAGTAAAGATGACCACAACAGATGAAAGTAACATGCATGATACAGAAAGTATTGATTGATTCAATCAATTAATTTCCTCATTGATGTACACTCAGTGACCCACAGCGACAACGTGAAAACAATCAAACTTATATTTTTTAAATTTAGTGTCCCTTACTACTCTGTACTGAGTGGGCTGTATTTACAGCCTCGAGTCATTTTGAGTTTGCACAACTGGATGGAGGGATTTTCTAATATTTATTGCCATTTCTCTCCCTCTCTGACATCTGGACAGGGACTGATGGTGGAACCATTTTCAGGTCTCCAGAGGAGTTCAACAGGGCTCAAGTCCAGGCATCAGCCAATTTTCTTACAATCAAACTGGAGCTTAGTTAATGGCTGGTCCATTTTAGGACTTTGACAGAGGAGTCCCAAAACAACTTTTGTGTTTTGGTAAATGGACTGATCTTATATAGTCTTTCTATCTAATAAAGATATTCAAAGCTCTTTACAACGCAACCTCTGCCCTCGTTGACCTCCAACACACACATTCATACATCACTCTACTACATCTCTACAAAGATAATCTGAATCTACAGAGACTAATCTGAGCTTTATCACATTCATACACTGATGGGACACACATCAGAGGCAATGACACGTTCAGTGTCTTGCACAGGGGCTCATCAATATGTGACTGCTGGTGGAATCAAACCCCTAACTCTCCCATTGGAGGACGACTGCTCTAACCACTCAGCCACAGCTGCCCCTCTGGGTCATTGTCATGCTGGCAGGTGAGCCTACGGTCCAGTCTGAGGTCTCTGGATCAGGTTTTTATTGAGGATACTTTGCTCCATTCAGCTTCTCTTTGACCCCGACCAGTCTCCCAGCCTCTGCTGCTGAAAACAGCCCCACAGCATGATGATCCCACCACCATGCTTCACTGTAGGGAATGGATGTTGTTGAACAGGTGATGTATGATACAGACATGCCTTTAAAGCTCAGACCAAACTGTTCAGTCTTGGTTTCATCAGCGCAGAGTACTGCTCCTCACAGTGCGAGTTCATTTGAGAAATATGGACGCCTGGATGTTCTTGAGAACCTTCAGTGCAGCAGAATATTTTTAACCTTCTTCAGATCTACACCTTGAATCAATCCTGTCTGAGCTCTGAAGGCAGTTCCATTGACCTTTATTAAGTTTTAAGTGTTGTTGCAAAAGATCTGAATACTTAAGTATATGTGATATTTAAGGTTTTAAATAAATCTACATTTTAAAAAATATGTTTTCATACTGTCATTATGGGGTACTGAGAGTAAATCACTGAGAAAACGAGTGCTGCACACGGCACATTGTACCTGTCAACAAACTATTATACAGCAATACAGAAATCTATAGCAATGACCCAGACAAGCAAAGACCTTGTATAACATTTGACCTTGACAGGTGAGCAGAGTTATGTGTTGTCATCACTGTGTGTTTCTATACAAGGATGAAATCAGTTCTCTGCATTTAATCCATCACACGTGAGATACACCCAGGTGGAGCAGTGGGCAGGTATGCAAGCAACCCAGGATTAGGGATTAGGTGGCTTGCTCAGGAACACCATGACATGTGGGCATGGCGGGGAGTTGAACCTGTGACTTTCTGGTCCCAACCATCTCGTCTACACCATCTCAGCACCTCACTGTTCATTGTGGTGGTACAAACTCGTATGAAGTTTTGTTAAAGTTTTACTTGAGTTTTGTTGGGAGACTGCGACGAAGTGAAGATTTAATGAGTCTGCTGCGTCCTTGGTAAAGTTCTTTATCTAAGTGACTTTTTTTATGCATGTGAATGTTTTTGTACAGTGCCCTGAGACAACTTCTGTGGTGATTTGGCTCTATATAAATAAATAAATAAACTAAATTAAATTATCTTGAGCAGATCAAAAGTTATGGATGGGACAAACAAAGAGCTGGTTTAACTTTGTCCTTGATTTGTGACCTTGATCTTAGATCTGGGGTGATGAAAAGTGCCTGTGGCACTCAGTCTAAAGATGAAGCACAATTTTCTTGAGCGGATGAGAAGTTATGGGTCAAACAACAGAAAGCTCACGGACAGACAGAAACTATACTGTTGTCCCTTTCTGAAGCCATTTAACAATCTAGATGAAACTAGACAGTAAAACAATCTCACGATGTTTAGTCAGACAAATGTTCTGTCGCAAAGTTTGTTTGGATGTAAAAAATATGGAGATAAAATGCCTTCAGGTGTTCCCATTAAGCCAGTAGGTGATGGGAAAACAAGAGGAGACAACACACTGTGAAACTCAGAAACTCACTTGTCCTGTTCGCTGGTAAACTGCTTCCTTCCTGACATGTTCGCTTCAGAGGTTAAAGAAATGTACATCATCACGCTACGCTACTCACGACATGGCTAGAAAGAAATACTTCATACTTTCATTGTTAAAAAAAAAAAAGTTCAAGAAACTATAAAGTGCAACTTCAGTCAAACAGACGGTTTGAAACATACTTTTATTGGTTTGTCCAGGTCTCCTCCACAGAGAGACTGAAGCGGGATCCGAAAAGGCTTCCATGTTGGATTCAAGTTATTCTTCACCACCTAAAGACAAGGAGCATTACAACTGATCAGAAGCAGATTGTCCAGATGTTCGTGAAGGCCTGCTGTCAGCTTGGCCCACAGCCCGAGTGTTTACCTCCGTCCTGTGAGCCAGCTGCCATCCAGTCTCTGTCTGCTTGTAGAGCTCCAGGTAAGGGTCGGACTTCCCAAAGAAATCCTGCGTATGAAAACAAAGAACAGAAAGAAACAAAACTAAACGGCTTTAAGACCTTAACGTTACCAGTACGGAAGACAAAGAGAATTATTCCTACCTTGTTATCCAGCTTCCTCGCCTCCACCTCAAAATTTGCCACCCTGTTATCTTTAATTTCTTCAGCACTGATCTACAACAAACAAAAAAACTAATCAAAGACCAAACACAGCAATGCAACAACAGGCAACATTTCTCTGTTGCCTCCTGTGTCACTCACTGTGATCGTCCCCTTTCCTGCTGGCGTCTTGTTCTTTAAGACCAGAGGCCTGGTCAGCTTCTTACTGGATACAACCTAAAGGTAGAATAAAAAACATTCAGCATTTTGATGAAGTAACTGAGTCAAAAGAGGACGAATGACTAGGCTCAGCCTGCAGAACACAGCAGCCTTCATGTCACCAAGCGAGTACTGTAAACGCCGGTCTATAGAGCGCACCCGAATATAAGCCACGCACACCAAATAAAAAATATTTATATTAGTCGTGGGCGGATCGATCCAAATGTCGATATCAATACCAACATGGGTATTGATATTGATCAGTACCAGTGTAATGAGATCGATGCTTTAGCTTGAGTTTCTCTCCTGTATGCACGGCTGTGGTTTCTTCAAAGATGCGAGGCGACTGCCGCTCCCGTCTCAGCACAGAGCAGCAGCAGGACCCCCAGAGAGGCTGCTGGGAATATTTCTTTGAGCTCAAGGCTTTGGAGCTTGTTTTGTTATTTACACTTTATTTATTGTATTTTCACACATTATTTTTGATTTGTAGTTATTTTTTCAAACCCAGAAAAGAAATTCACTCAAGGGGAGAAATTTTGTTTTATTCCGTTACATCCTAAATACATTTTACTGTTTTATAACATTTGTTGCAGTGTGATAACCGTGTACTGTTTATTTGAGAGAGAAAAATCCAGAAAAGGAGCGCAATGAAGGGATAATTTTTATTTAATCATCATAGTTTCTGAACACAATGTTTTAATTTGTTCTTGAGGGATCATTTTGTGCAATTTGTTTAAAGAAAAAAAATCCAGCCATCACAAGATATGAGGAAAATTGTTTTGTTACTGTTCTATTTTTTCAGAAAAAAAAACTTATTTTAATAAAGTATTTTTTATTTACTTATGAACTTTGCCTAATTCTATCCTGGGTTTTAAGAAATTATCTGAAGGAAGAATCACAAAACACTTAAATGTCATCAAAATTCATTATAATTATTTAAAGTATTGTATCGGTGATACTGGATCTGTATTTAGTTGGTTTCAATCGATAACAGATTTCACAGCATCACACACCACTAACTAATATATATATTTGTACATATATAAGCTGTGGGCGTTCACGTTGTAACATGAGTGGCAGCACAGACTTTATCTTACTGTTCAACACACGGACAGAGAGAACCTCACAGGTCTTCATGACACCTCCCTCACCCATGGTTACTCTACTGAATGTCCTAACACAAACTAACACATAATGAACACATGAACTCGACTAACAAGAACAGACTAATCACTAAAACAACAATGCTAAACCGCTAACTGAAATTATTAACAATGAACATAAATTTTACCCATAATTCCTCCCTGAGGCCATATGACCAGCAGTCAACCACAATGAACCAATGAGGTAATCTCACTGAGTCACGAGGACCCACCCCCCAAGAGAGATGTGTATTGATGAGACTACCTGAATGAATAAAAGGTAAAAATAAAAAACATCTGACCAATGAAATTACCAGTCAGGTCACAGTTGAACCAATGAGCATGCGCTCCGCGGAGGATTCCCCCCCTCCTCCACTCTGTCTGTGTGTTAAACAGTAAAATAAAGTCACGAGGACCCGTATCTTAAGAGAGACCTGTACTGGGCAGCTATGTGAGCACCTGGGTGTGACAAAGCTAAATGTTTTCAGTGGCATGAAGCTCGTTAGCCCGTCAAAAAATAATCAAATAAAAGCTTCCATAAATTAGCCGTAGCATTGTATAAGCTGTGGGGTTCAAAGCCTGTGAAAAAAGTAGCAGCTTATTGACCGGAAAGTACGGTAGTTTTATTTTTTTATTTGTTGTATTTTAGTAAAAATCACATTGTGTAGTTCCAGAAGCGAGGCAAACCTTACCTGTCCCAGGGTGCACTCCAGCTCCCCCAGGAAGTCATCATCACTCAGGTCAACGGTCGTGTTGTCAATGTCATAAATGCCAAACTTCAGCTTCTGAACTATTTCAAAGTAATAGTCGACAACAAACTTTTTGGCAAACTTTGGACAGAGGCAGTTCTGGACTTTCTCTGAACGAGCCACCTGTGGGGAAACAATGGAAGTGTGAGGAACAGTAGTTCTGTGAACATAACGAGTGGCATGTACTGACACACATTCAGAGGTGTAGCAAACAGAAACTAACTTCTGGGGTTAATGATTGACATTAAACTGGAAGCATCAGTGACATTCAGTCATCTACCCTCTTTCTAATGTTTTACAAATCTGAAAGAACCAGTGGTACTCCAGTGTCCCCGGTCACTGAGGGAATTGAATAGTTGTGAATGTTCGTAGTTTTGGAGATGAGTGTTTTTCTAAACTGGAACTGAACAGGGAATAAAGTAAACCTTAATGTTTCGGTGCAAGATATTCAAGTGGGTATGAGTGACACTGTGGAGAAGAACAGACAAATGTTTTGTTTTTTCTCGTCTGAGGCAACGCAGTGACGGAGCCTGGTGAGTGGAGGGAGCAACGTTATCCACCACCAGGCACAGAGGTGGAGCTGGGGCTGTTCACATCGGTGGTCTTGGCCACCATAGACTGAACTTCAGCCACTCAAGAGTCTCCAAAATTATTACCGTAGTGTCCTCAAATGATTGGGTGGACGATTTACACACACATACGTACGTACATATATACACATATGCGCACACACACATTTTTTATATTTATGTTTTTATATTTGATATATTTTCTATATTTAATATATAAAATACCTATATATTTTATTCTAAATAACAGGCAGCGATTTTGTCGCCTACGTAAGTGTCTGACACTGCCTACATTGACAAACAATATATATTTTCTGAGGCGCGTGATAGTCACGACCGATTTCAGTCGGAGACACAGCCTCTCAGACCATTTTAATTTGTGTTAAAAGTGCAATCATCAAACCAAACACCAGTTTTTAAATTGTGTTGATAGGACAAGTAAAACCAGTTATGATTAATAATAATTCAAGCCACATCTTTTTCTGAAGATCATCGTCATATCTGAAGCGCTTTAGAGAGAGAGGCTGCAGCAAAGACAGGCAGTCTCAGGAACAACCCCCTCCATTTTCACCTCTCACCCCTGCCAAACAGATAAACCACCTACCCCCTCCTTTCTGATGGAGGCTCCAAGTTATTGGTCAAGCACCAAAAATTTTACAGGTTGAAGAAAAAGATGCAGAAGTTGAGTGGAGTTCAGTGATAAAGTCACAGTGAGAGCAGGAGTGAGTCATGAGGTCTGAGAGATCTGTGATGCATGTTTGGGTTTTATAGTGTAGTTTAGTGCATTTAGTTTAGTTTAGTCAGTTTTTGTGTGTTTGGGTCAAAACAATGAGATGATTTTTGAACATGAGGAGGAGCTGCAGACCCAGAGGAGGATGGAACCACCGAGTCAGAACCTCAGACAGAGGAGAGGATCATGAAGGAGAAAAACAGTCCGAGTCAGTCAGAAAGGACTTTGGTGATGAAGAGGGGGGGGGGTCATGATTTGTTTTAGAAGAGGAAAAGTAGACCAAGCCCCACTAGGAGGTCTGACTCTGCTCAGAGGAGGGGGTCCAGAACCTCTCTGACTGGACCAACAGAACCAAGTTCTGAGCTCTGGAGAACAGAGGACGTGGATGCTGCTGACCCAGAGGTAAACGTGTTCCGGGTACAGAGAACACCAGAGGTCCAGGTGGACATAATGACATCAGGGTGCAAATAACTTTTATAAATTTAGTTGTTTTTTGCTCTGACCCAGTCTGAACAGTCTGCAGCAACACCAACAAGAAGGGAGCAAAAAATAAAGGATCTGGGGAAAAAAACAAACTGATGGACAAACATGGAAGACTTGTATAAAAAATATTGTTCTCTACATCTGTGTGGTTGAGAGCATCTTAACCAGCTGCATCACTGTCTGGTACAGCAGCCATGGACCACAAACCCCTGCAGAGAATGGTGAGGACCGCTGAGAGGATCACCAGGACTCCAATGACCTCTCTGCAGAGCATCTACTACTGGTTTGGGCTCCTTGTAGTCACTGAGTGGACCACAAACTCCTCTGTTGACCAAAGGATTCTGGTCAAATGTGAGGGCATCTGTCCAACAGCTGATGCTTGGACCAAACTGGGCCATGCTGTAACAGAACAATGATCTTAAATACAGCAGCTAATCTACAAGGGAACAGATAAAAAAGAATTAAGAGGTTCTAATGGTCCAGTCATAGTCTAGAACCCGAGCCTGACTGACCTGCTGTGGTGGAACCTTCAGAGCTGAGCAGAAATAAAAGGTCTACAAATTATCATGACGCCAACTGAGCCACATCACCGTTATCCTGAGCGTTTAGAGGATTCAATACAGTTTAGTCCATTTCTAAAACCTAAACTGAGACTAGAAAAATGTAAAAGATGATAAAGGCCAGCGAGAGACCTCATGATCAGATGAACACAACATTAACAGGAAGTACCGCATGTTCATTAGTATGAAGGTAACTGCAGGTAAATCCTCCATTTTCTGTAATAATTACGTCATATGCTTAATGGTTGAATTCAAGGTTAATGCTAGTTGTGTTTTGTTTTATATGTACATATATGTTGTAACTTCTGGTTTCATAAGTTTAGTTTTTGTTATGAGTTAAAAACTAAACTGATTTTACAAAGTGTTTATTGGGTTACGTAATGTAAAGTTCACACACTCACTGAATTTTTGAGAGTTCTTGCCATGTGTTGCTCTGCAGCATGAAAACATCCACTGCAGTAACTACTTTGTTAATATCTTTGACTTTTTTCCGTCTTCTTTGCCTTAATGTCGGCTGATAAGGCAGAAATGCCTCACTAAATGTCTCTGGTAACACCGTGAGCTTCACCACCTCCACCATTACAGCTGTCTTGTTTGTTTGTCCAAGGTTAGCTCGCACTGGGTTACACTTCCTCGTGGGCGGAGTGATCTTACAGTTTGACTCAGGTCAATGAATCAAAAGCAACAGTGTAAAAAAGAATGGGCGAAGATTCCTTCACAAACAGATCAAACATTGATAATAAAACCAAAAACAACTAGAGAGTTATTGCTGCTAATGAAGGTCCCACAAGCTGCTGGATCACACAACTTTTCTACTTTTGCTTCCTTTTTTTAGTGAATAACAACATGGTGGAGTTTGACCAGAACTACGCAATAGTAGGCAACATATATGACTTTATAAACTAATCGTTTACTTCTTAATCCCACCAAAAATATAACAAATACTTTTAACACAGCTGAGTCTGTGTAAGCCTTGCTGTTAAATGAACGTTCATCCTACTGACCTCATACCACTGATCGTTGGCGCTGCACATTACCAGCACACACAGAGGGTCTGATTTGGAGCCGATGTCCTTGTCCAGGAGGTTCTCACAGGACACAGTGAGCTCCACTTTGGTTACACACTGAGCAGCCATGTTTGACAAACTGGACAAAAGACACAGAGACGCTAACATATTCAGCTGAAAACCATAAAGACAGTTAGCTGCAAATGTTGAAGACACAAATGAGAGCACAAACGTTACGGGACATTCTGTAAACTTCTTTCAAAATGCCTTTTGGCCAACAGCTCAGTGAGGTAATGATTTGAGAAAAGTGCAGTAAGTCAGCTCAGCTTTTGACCTACAAAACAAAAAAAAGAGGCAAAGACTGCAGTAAAGCCTTCTCCAGACTCAGAAACCTGACTCTCGCCCAAATCCAGAGTGCTCGATTACAACAACCTTCACAGCTGGGATGTATTTGCACCGTTGTGTACGGACCCCCGTTTAAAGGCGAATAACGTAAAAGAAGCAATATCTGACGTAGATTTTCTTACTTCGATTCCACACGTTTCTCACCAAGTTTGAGGAAACTCAGCTGTGGGTTTTAAAGATATTTCAACTTTAATGCACTTTAACACAGCGTCAGGTCTGTGCTCAGGGTGTTTATGAGCAAATGAAATACAAAAACACCAACATTACCACTAGACGTTTTTTACTTTTGTTCAACACTACTCATCTAAAGCAGTGGTTCCCAACCCTGGTCCTTGAGGAACACCATCCTGCATGTTTTAGTTGTCTCTGCTCCAAAACACCTGATTTCAATAAATGGGTGATTAACAGGCTTCAGCGGATCGTGAGGAAGTAATTGAATCACTGAATCAGGTGTGCTGGAGCAGGGAACTACTAAAACATGCAGGGTGGTGTTCCTCACATGTCTAAAGGATGGTTCTCACCAATTTAGAGGAAAATAAATTGTGGGGATTTAAAGAAATGTCAACTTTAATGCACATCTATAAACACATGTAGTGCGGACGTGAAAGGTACTGTCCCAGCTGTAAAGGTTGCTGTAATTGAGTACTATTACATTTCTGAATCTGGGGAGGCTTGAACGTAGTGAGGCCTTAAGACTAAAGTATTTTTAGTTTACAAAAAAATACCATTAGGAGGTATAATTACCTGGTAATGTAATGTAATTGTAATTAATGGTAATGTAATTAGGGCAGCACGGTGGCGCAACTGGTAGAGCTGCTGCCTCTCAGCGAGCAGGTCCTTGGTTCAAACCCTGGTCCAGGGGCCTTTCTGGGTGGAGTTTGCATGTTCTCTCCGTGCATGCGTGGGTTTTCTCCGGGTACTCCGGTTTCCTCCCACAGACCAAAAACATGCATGTTAGGCTGATTGGTAACTCTAAATTGTCCCTAGGTGTGAGTGAGAGAGTGAATGTTTGTTTGTCTCGTTTGTCTCTATGTGGCCCTGTGATGGACTTGCGACCCGTCCAGGGTGTACCCCGCCCCTTGCACAGTGATTGCTGGACATGGGCACCAGCGACCCCCGTGACCCAAAATGGAATAAGCGGGTAAAGATAATGGATGGATGGATGGATGGATGGTAATTTAATTACCATTACAAGGTCTTAATGACAACACTGTTCTCTACTTATAAATACACTTGTATCTCCCGTAGCAAACATTCAGATATGATTTATTATTTCTGGAAATCACCTCGACCCAAAACTTGACATTTCACGACCTGCCGTGGGGCCCAGAACCATATTTTGGGGACCCTGAGGTGTGATAGGTCAATCTGCATATTTATATGTGTATCTGATCTCAGCTTTATAACCTGAACCCCACACTCTGTGCTCTTTGAATTGAGAAAGCTTCTCACATGAGAAGCAAAACATCTGTTACAAATAAAGTCCAGTTGTTTTTGTCTTGAACTTTTCTGAATTTACCCTTTACCATGTCCTGGATGACTGAGAATCTTCACCAGCGTTTTGGGGACATCAAGCCTTAGCTATCATTGACAATGTGGAGCACAGTGTGTTGGGCCTGCGACGAGAACTCAAACTACAAATATGGTTTTAACACATTAAATGATCAGCTTTACTTTCCTCCACAGCTAACGATGAGTAGAAGAAACACACGGCGGAGTGCAGTTGTCTGAATGAAACCCCGTGGCTTCGTGTTTTAGCTCATGTAGCAGCAGCTTGTGTTACTGTGAGCATTAATAAGCTAAAGGTGTTGTACATTAAACAGTACCACAGAAACTTCTGCTTGTTGTGTTCAAATTACAACAAAGCCCATGCTCAAATTACGGTCCGAGCTTACCGCTGAAGACGAGACGTACAGCAGAGTTTAATTAAATCCCCTCCACCCTCAAGTTTCTTGGCTCGACGTTGTTGAAGAGAAAGGTGGAGCTGCTGCAGTCACGGAAAATACTCGTCGATGGTTTTCAATCACCGAGACAGTGACAGTCAGAAGGTGTGGTAGCACAGCATGTCTTACTGTTACAACATAACTACCATGATAGCTGCTGCGCACTTCACCGACCGGAAGTCATCGAGCAGAGGCGCTGTCAGGATGCACAGGTCTATGCATAGATATAAACACTAGATGCCTCATTGGCTGCTGCGGCGCAGGATTTTCGGCCGCCATCTTGAAACGGTCGTCCTTATTTGGTTAAAGCAGAAGATGTTTCAGCACTTCGCAGCTTATTTCTGTTCAGATCGACGGACTGTTGACGTCAGGTCTCGTGGGGTAACTTTTCACAAGTAAGATGAACATATTATTGTTAGTATTTTATGAATATAATATTACTGTACTGTATTTATGTCCACCAGCTGATGTGATGTTCAGTGTAACACGGTGTTCAGCTGCAATGAAGCTGACTGAGATCTGATGACAGGAATATTTTTCTAACAAACCGTACTCACTATTTCAGCAGCTTTGGTTCATTATCAACAGACCTGTATCATAATTGGAGTTTTGTTTAAGTTCTAGGAAATAAAAAAATAAAACTAGGGAGAATATAGGAAATAGAAAATAAGATTGACCTCCTTTGTACAATGTTTTTGTGTAGACACAAATCTCCTTTTTTCATTTTGAAGGTTTCCCAAACAACAAGGTGTGAGGAAGAGGAGGAAGTATCTTTGAGGAGGATTCATCTGAGCAGTGAGGATTTTAAACTGGAGGATTTTGATCAAACTGATCAGACTGTTCGACTGAGAGATGGTGTGGTACCATCGGTTCACCTTCAAAGAGTAGGAGCATCATTATAAGTTCATTAGAGTTCATAAATTTACATATTTTATTGTCAGTCACAAGGTGAGACACCTCCATGTGTTTATATGAACAGGTAACTAGAGACTGTAAAGTTCATATTCATGATGCTTTTTCATTTCAGCTTGAAAACTGCAGGACTACAGGAACTCAACAAAAGCTGCAGCTGCTCTGTCTGTGGCCTCTCAGGAACGTGCACGTCACACACACACTCTCAGGAACGTGCACATCACACACACACACACTCTCAGGAACGTGCACGTCACACACACACTCTCAGGAACGTGCACGTCACACACACAACCTCGGCCTCATGATGTGAGTATTTCTATTTTAAACTTTTATTTTTTCATTTAGCCTTTATTTATCCAGGTAGTCTCATTGAGTCACGAGAACTCATTTTAAAGAGAGACCTGTTTAGGAGCAGATGGTGGGGGTTGAGTGCCTTGCTCAGGGGACCAGGGTGGGGCCAATGAGGGTGGAGGCAGGTGTGGGTGTTTCACCTTTTCCACC